TCAGCACCTCCGGAAGAGTTGATCCGAGAGAGCTCAAGCCAAGGGATATTCTGTCCAATCTTCGTACCATCGAAGCAGACCACCAAGTTGACAAGCGAGCCATTTGAGTTCTGTGGATGCACTGTGTACTTAATTGACCCAGAGCTTGGACTGTCTGGGGACGGACAAACAACTTTTCCACCTCAGAGCTGGAAAAGGCAGGAAAGTTGATTGAGTTTGTTGCCATGAATAAGCTGACGGTGGGAGTGCCGATTGAAGCTCAGACACTAGCTCAGACGGCAAAGGACATGGCTTTCGAATTGCACATCCGCATCATCGGATCACGTTGGGTTTTGACATGTTAAACGGTAGAAGGAGTCAGTCCCAAACCAGCGCAGGGCTAGATGCGTAGTTCAGGACGTAGCAGCTGGAGCCCAATAGGCGCATCATCTCGGCATCGACTCCAAGTGTAGAGGCCTTCCGTTCATTTCTCGCAGCAGTCCAACACTACAACATGCGGTTAACAAGTCTCGATATCTCAACGGCCTTTTTGCACAGCCAGCTGCCGAATGGCATCAGGGCCATAGTCAGAATGCCTGCTGACGTGTCATTTGCGCCTGACGCATATGAACCTGTGTTCCTCGACTTGTATCGAGCGATGAACAGCCTGAGGGTTGCTTCAAAGGCATGGTTGAACACGCGTTCAAGGATCCTCAGGGACAATGCAGGTCTCTTAAAGTGCCCAAGTGAGCAAACTATCCTCGCAGGAGTGACAAAGAAGTCAAACAGTCCTTCGATAGTGTTGGTATACGTGGACGACCTTTTGGTAGGATCTTTGTCACCTCGAGGGATTCAGGACATTCGTGGAGCACTTGAAGAGTCTTTGAAAGTCAAGACGACAGGCATGATCACCAGTGCAAGTAAGGAAGGGGGCCGAATCACGTCCCTTGGAAGGGAGATCATTCGTCCAAATCAGTCCGATCGACTTTTGGTTTGGGTACCACCGAGCTATCTAGAAGAGTTGTTTGTTGATGACCCCTTTTGTCAAGATTTGAAAGGATCCCCTGTTCCACCAGACCTTCTTCAGATCCTTGAGAAAGCTCATCGCAGTCCAGAGACGATCACGATCTTATCTGAAGAATCAGAAGCTGCAAGTAGGTACAAACGGATTGCTGGAAAGCTTGCATGGTGCAGCCAAACACGTCCAGATCATGCCAGGTTCATTTCCCTGTTAGCCAGGGGACAAAGTGATCCGACGAAAGTTCATGAGAACATGTTGAGAAGGTATTTACGGTTTGTTCGAACATTTGTTTCATCAATTCCCCACAGAGAACATGCACATCGACTACTATGATGGTCTGATCGCAATCTCTGACGCTTCATGGGGAAGTAGCGATGTTGAGAAACGAAGATCAGTTAGTGGTGGCCTCATTTTTTGGCGAGGATGCGTTGTCAAGAGCTTCAGCCGATTGCAAGGATGCGTGACACTTTCTTTATGTGAAGCTGAGGTCGCGTCGGTCTGTCAAGTTGCACAGGAATGCATTGGATTGAGACATTTAGTGGAGTACCTCGATTCATTCGCCGACATGACAGAGCCTCAGAAGTTTCAACAAGAAAGCTTTGCTGCTATGCAATTTGATCAGATCGGAAGTTCAGGAACTCGTGACTACTTTCCAGTTCTGCTGTACTCGGACTCTCAGTCTTGCGTAGCTGTCTTGCAGAACCAAGGGTTGTCACGCCGTGTGAGGCACATCTCGCTAGCCACATGTTATGTTCAATCACTGGTAGAGAATGGTCACATGGTTTTGGTTTGGATCTGAGGGAAGTTTTGTAGCGCGGACCTCCTCACCAAGATCTTGAATCGTGATTTGACTGAATTCCATAGGGAGCAGATCGGTATTCTCGAGATCACCGCACCAGAATCTTGGCAGACCATGTGTGGAAAAGACTTGAAGAAACGATCCAAACAAACGAAAAACGAAGAGGTACCTGAAACAGATGTTGCTGCCGTACAGCATGATCCAGAGAACGAACCGGTGATGTTGCCAGAACAGCCATTTTCAACTTTTCCGTATGCCGAAATCGCATCGGTTGGCAGTGGTAAGACAGAGTTTGATTTGAAGCTGCTGAAGATTTTGTCCGACATAGCTGACCAAAGGGTGACCAAAGGGTCTCACACGTGATTGTGGAACTTTGCATTTGGAACGAAGGCGGATTTTCACAGGTGATTCGAAAAGATTCACATGGTTCCTTGCGGATTGTGCCAGTCACCGAAGAAGACAATTTGAACGTTGTTCATTTGAAGTTGTGTGATTGAGTCGACAAGGTCCTCCAAGACTTTCCAAAGGTCATGCTGATGTGTTGGGCATCGCCTCCGTGTACAGGTGGTTCGCCAGTGATCAACCTGATCCCAGAACCTCGCAGGTCAGAAATCAGAGAGCAGCGCATGGCTGAGTTCAAATCGCTGATCGAAAGTTCCCGAGACGTCATGTTGCGTTGTCACGTTAGGTGTCTCGAGCTTGCAAGGCCATGCATGTATTGGAAAGAACGCTGCGCATACACTCAGAGCGAAGAGGCCCGAGCGAAACATGAGTTCCGAATTGCTAGCAAGTGCATGTTGTTTGATCCCAAGCGCTGTCAATGCAATACCCATTTGCCACTGAACAGCCAGAGTCTTCGTGCACTAGGAGTATATCCATTGAAGCTAGTTCAGAAATTGGCCTCCTGGTTCCTCCGGTTGCAGTCTCTCCCTGAGTGAAGACCCCATGGGATAGAAAGAACTGAATTCAATAGATATAATTTCACTTGATTTCATTGATGGACTATGCCATTTGTTGCAGTAGGGTTCGATGATCTCGATGTGAAACACCGCAATAGCCATAGATACCATAATGACTGTTTAAGCGAAATTCCATAAAGTGGATACAATTTGTTTCTTTCGAACTTGATTGCCATGGCTCCTAAGTCCCGGATCATGATCGAGGTGGAAGCACCGTCAAAGGTGAGCATCGAACTGAACGTCCATCGCGACGACCATGATCACAGGGATCAAGTGCCGCGGCATCGAGCTCAGTGCAGGATTCCACAACAGCTGGAAGTGAGAATTTGAAGGGAGGTGGAAAAGGTTTGAAGTTGGAGAAGAAGGATGGTGGGTATGGAAAGATGGAAGAAGTTGAGGGAGACAGCCATGAGCCTGAGTGGCACCATGTGGACGAAGGCCATTCAAGCTCACCTCACCCGCCATCGTATTTGCCAGGCGAACCGCACCCGCCGGAAGACATTCCGGCCATTCGCTATGTGTTCACTAGGAAGAGTGATCCACAAGAGAGAATGCATGACACTTTGAAAACACTTGGACGGATCCTTGGTGACAGCTCCATTGTGCACGAAGTGCCTACCTCTTGGCCTGGTGTCGAAAGGATTCTCTTTTGAGTTCGCCTCGCACCTGCACAGGGTCCGAGAGACTGGTGAATGTCATTGCCTGCTTGCCATCGATTTGAATCGAGTCTTCAAGCCTTGCAAGTATTGCATCCACATCCCGTGAAAGCATGCATGCATAAGAGTACGGCTCAAAACCACTAAGCCGTGTAAAGCTCATAACCTTTCGTTCATTGCTTGAGAACGTAACAGTGTTTGGTCGTGGGGGGGTGTGAAATAGTGACGCCATGAAGTCCCTTTGCATAGTTCGCCCAACCTCTGTTCGTCTCAGGGTGCAATGCCGAAGGGTTCGCCTGCGGTCATGGTGATCGTTTTTGGGCATGTGTTTTTGAAGAGTGTGAAGCACACTCAAAAATCAAGAAGTGTACCAAGTTCGCAGAACCACGCATACATACCGAAATATGCAGTGAGGGCGGTGACCTTAGTCACTGTCCCTCCTGTTTTTCGGACCGACATATGCAGTGAGGGCGGTGACCTTAATCACTGTCCCTCCTGTTTTTCGGAGTGCTGGTGCCGAGAGTTCGAACGTTGCCACTTGATGACGTGGCTCAAGGACACGCAGAAAAAGTTGCGTGCCTTCCGGGTGGGCGGCGTGTCGGGGCTTCGCTCCCGAGCATTCGCGTTAGGTGGTTTTTGGTTGAAACAGTGTTCTCACGTTTGTTCACGGAGTTCTCTAAGTTTCATAGGTGGTGGTGGTGGTGGTGGTGGTGGTGGTGGTGGTGGTGGTGGTGGTGCTGGTGCTGGTGCTGGTGTTGGTGGTGGTGCTGGTGCTGGTGCTGGCGCTGGTGCTGGTGCTGGTGGTGGTTAGTTGTTGTTGGTGGTGGTGCTGGTGGTGGTGGTGCTGGTGGTGGTTAGTTGTAGTTGTAGTTGTAGTAGTAGTTGTTGTAGTAGTAGTAGTTGTAGTAGTAGTAGTAGCTGTAGCCAGCAGCAGTTGCAATTAATAGTAATAAACATAGTAGTAGTAGCAGCAGCAGCAGCAGTCGGAGTAGGAGTATATAAGAGTAGGGGTAGGAGTAGGAGTAGGAGGAGGAGGAGCAGCAGCAGCAGCAGCAGAAGCAGCAGTAGCAGTAGCAGTAGCAGCAGCAGGAGTAGTAGTAGTAGTAGTCGTGGAAGTAGTAGTCATTCTGACTGAAATGCGGATGTCGTTCAGAGGTCGTTCAGAGGCAATTTTTTCGCCGAGAAATCTGGCTAAATACTGTCCATCAAAAGTGAGCAGCAGCAGCAGCAGCAGGAGCAGCAGGAGAAGGAGCAGCAGGAGGAGCAGGAGATGGAGCAGCAGGAGGAGCAGGAGCAACAGCAGGAGCAGGAGGAGCAAGAGCAGCAGCAGCAGCAAATGCATGTTGTACGTAGTTAAGGAGGTAGTTCCAATGTCGTTTTGGATGTCGTCCAGAGGGTCGTTCCCCAGCTAAATGACACATTCCACAAAGACAAAAAAAACATCAGAAATAGCTGCGGCGGTGCGTGGAATTCTGAACGAAGGATCCCACAATACTACTTTACATAAACCCACCTTTTTCTTCTGGCTCATTTACCTTTTTCGACATCTCTTCTCATCTCTACCTACAAACATGCGGCCGGGGCACAGCCAGCGCTTGGCTCGCGACAAGTGGACAGGCTTCCTTGGTCCAACACCTCGGTGCAAACATGGCTGCAATGAGCAAGCGGCCCAATTGCCAAATGCAAAGGGAGCTGGCGAGGAAAAGCTGGGGGTGCAAAAACTGAGGTCGAGAAGCTGGGTGGCAAGAAGAAGGAAAGCGCATCAAAACTGCAAAAGCGTTGCTCCCGGCACACCAGCGTGTTGCTAGGAACACGCAACAGTCGCATTGCTGATCCTAACTAGCAAGGGGTTGGAGGGGGATTCCCTGTAGTTCCTTGGCCAAAAGGATGCAACTGGCTCCCAGTTTCCTTGGCACTAGTGTGTAGAAAGAATGAGTCGTACCGGATACATTAAGCACACCACAAGTGCAACAGCTCAGAAATATCATGCTAGGTAGGTGCAACTGCCTGTGGCCTTGCTGCCCATACAACATGCCGTGTGCTGCAGGGAAGGAATGCATCCCAAACGGGGACATAAGGCACAGGGTGGACGACGGCTGTACACGCGGAATTCGGATGTGCCCGCGGTTTCCAGGATTGGTTGCGCACGCAGAAGTCTTGCTTTGCTGTTCTAGATGCCTGAGAAAAGACCACCTGACAGCACCCACGGTTCCAACCGAGGGTTCAACACAACAGCCAGCCCCCAGGGTTCCACAACGGATTCCGGGCGCCGGTGACAAACTGGCCCAGAGGTTGAAACCCAACTGCATTCTGCTGTTGGGAACCAACTGCGCAGTCTAAAGCGCAAACAGATCAACACCAGCCAGGCTCCAAGGCAGACAGCACCGAACATTCCAAACAGCATGCGGGGTTCTAGGACGGAATTCCGGCTTTCAAGCCCTGTGGGCTCCGTGGGCAGACTGTGCCACAACAGCACCCAAGGTTCCAGACAGCACCCAGGGTTCGACAATGGCATTCCGGTTTTCAAGCCCTGTCGATAAGACTGCGCACCACTCCCGACAGCAGTTCCAGAAAACACCCAGGGTTCGAGGAATTCCGGTTTAAGTTTAGACCGTCGTGGACGAACTTTGCGCCACTCCCAGCCCTAGAGATTGAAACCCATCATTCTGCTGCTGAGTTGGGAATACAATGTCCGTCTATTTGTAGCGGAGGGTAGACCATAAGGTGGTAGCTTGCAAGTAGCTAGTAGGTAGTAGCTACAGCTAGAGTAGCTATTCAGTAGGCCACTGATAGGCTAGGACACGGACGCACTCTCTGCTGGCTTGCATGATTGATTTGGTTCCAAATGTATTGGGATGAAAACTTAATCATCATGTAGCCGTGTCTTGCGGTGTCAATCTGGCAAACTCTGGTGAATTCAGCAGCCAATAGCTCAACGCTCCTAGGCCTATGTTGAATGGTTTGTATGTGTTTGCGCCCCATGGCCGACAGAAAGCACTAGTTCGACAGGGCACCCAGCGCTGCACGTCTGGGTGCGCCTCCCGCAGTTTTGAGGCTGCAAAGGTGTCAACACCCTGAGTGCAACTCACAGTTCCAAACATCATAAAACATGACATGTATTACTGTAGACAAACATTTGTTCACAGCTCCTTTTGAACAAATATTGTCACTGACCTTATTCCAGTGCTGGATGTTCGAGACCGCTTGTGCAACAATACCATATCTAATATGCAGCAATGACCAAGGTTGGTCTAACGGTCTAACGTGGGTCTTTTGGTGGTGCGTGCTGCAAAGCTGTCCATGGGCCCACGGGTCTGTCAAATAAAGCATCCAATGCGGTGGCATTTATCGGGTTCTTATAAAGGGCCGGGGAACACCAACACGAGCGAGTTCTTTGACCAGGCAGGCCACATTGTCTGAAATGAACTGCTCCACCTCATCAAGCGGTTCAGCACCATACTGCTCCTCTGGGTCAAGTCTTGAAGGCCACAAGCAGATTGTGATCAACATATCAGAAAGTGCGGGGCACGTGATTTAGCTTTGACGGCCACAATGGATGGACTGACTGAAATGAAGGCCATTTACTGTACAAATGTTAGGATTGAAAAAACAGTTTCCAAACTTAAAGTTGAACATGTGCGTGCTTTGAAGGCTATCACCAATCACCAACGCCCCTCCTGAGATGTGGCTGCTCGGATCTGCGCCATGCATTCACGGGATGTATTGCCATGGAGCTGTCCCTGTGACAGCAACGATCGTTGCACCTGGTCATGGACATCCAAGTTGATTGGCTTTGGTTACTTTGGCGATACTTGATATTACTTCATGTTTGAATCAGAATGAGCTTTTATGTGCAATCAGGTCCGTGTTCTCCTGCATCTACTGCCTTCTCTGTGTCACCTCACGCAATCAGGTTCCGGCCACAGGCGGCGCACGTTCTAAAGCTGCTGCTGCACGCTGGTCCAAGCGATTTTCCTTGGGCTGAGTATGGAGGTGGCTAGACGTTAATTGAACTCGTGCCGAAAAATAAGCCCATGAGACATCTTTCAACAGTTGCACATTCACAAGGCTCAAGGTCCCTTCTTGCGGTCAAATGATGGGCTGGTCTTTGTTGGTCATTGTCAACATGCACTATCTGGGCAGACTAATAGCGGCGCCTACGGAGAAAAAAAGCTTGCTTTGAAAGCAGCAACCACTTGCACATTACGCCTGGCAGCCCGGATGCATACTGCAAGTCCTTACCCCGGATGCTGCTGAGCAGCATAAATGAAGCTTTCGACATCATCTAAGCTCGGCGAGCCCCAGCCCCTTTTGCGTGCCTTCCTGGCACAACAAATCAAACCAATGGAAGAATTTAAAGATGGTGAGGCGATTCTGAGGATCTACATTCTCCGCAGATTCTGGTAACTCGTGTGCATGGCATGTGTGCGCCTTTGAATCTTTGAAATCCGCCCAATGCAGGCAGCGCTTGGCTCGCGGGTACCATGGAGGCTTCCTTGATCAAGTACCTGCCATTGACCCACCCTCTCAAAGGTTGATAGAGCGATTCGATGATCGATGCGTTCAGCACCAGCATGAAACACCAAAGTCGCCAAGCTTCATACGCAAGAGCAAGACTCGGAAACAAAGCTCTTGCACCACATTTGACATCTGTCATTGGCTCCTGCTGCTGCACGGGGCTGTCAGCACTTCTTAAAGCGTCTGCTGCACGCTCCTAAGCTTCGGCTGCCACTTGCTCGGATGGCTTAATGAACTGTGGAAGACCAGGCTGACAAAGGTTCAAGGCAGAAATGGATCAACATAGATAAAGGGTGACATGTGTAACATGCCAAGAGTCATTTAAGCAATTTTCTTCAATAAACCTCTCGATGTCCTCAGTCATGCAATTCACAAAGCAAGCACTTGGAGGCTGACTGTACTCCTTGGTCATTTTCCTTGATGTGACACAGCATCAAAATGAGAACAAGTTACATAACAAGGTCGAGTATCCCGAGCAGTTGGAGCAGTTTGCCCAGGGAAGGCATTGAAAACCTGCAGCCAGGCAGGATGGTGCAGGTCCTTCTGCCCGTGCAGCCGGTGACTATGTCATGGCAGCCACAAGCACAGGCTACCACGTTACTACTAACTACGTGGAAAGAGTTAGCCAAGGTCATGTGGCCTCCTTTCGTGGTGGCACTGAAGCCTGCTGCACAGAAAACTGCGAAGGCTGCCGCGCACGACGGATACCTGGGAGAGTGGCCCCAAACAGACTGCTCCTGCTTTCCAAAGACCATCTGTCCACACGACCCTCTTTGAGCCCACCTGTTCACACTTTATCACTTAAAGAGCTTCTTTGACATGTTGTTTACGCGTGTTTCGGACAACTGGTGCCATGATCTACCAAGCTGCGCCCCATCAAGCCAGCATTTGGATCACGGCAGGTGTGCAAGCTGCCCTGCAAAGACAAAGACCAGTCTTGTCAACTACTAGCACCTCGTACTACCATGCAGAGAATGAAAACAAATTGATAAAAAGGGTATCTCTACAAGATGTAAATGTGCAAAATAAGTAGAGCTCGAAGCCTCGAAGGAATCATTAGCTAATCTTCAGCTTCGTGAAAGGCTTCAATCACATCATTGCATCATTCGAGCTCTCCTGGGTAGTTGCCTCTACAAGTAGCTCATGGAGTGGCAATGGATGTTAGGATGTTCTAGGTGTGACCAAAAAAGGTGACGTCACAATATAAAGTCCAAGGGAATGTCGGAGCAGTCGGGTTACTAACCTTTCATCCGCTCTGCACCAGCTTTGGCACGGGTGAATTTCAGCACCTGGTCCAAAACCTGGCGCTGCAACCATTGAGCAGCAGTTCGCAAGGCAGAGGCAGCTCGCTCATCCAAGGAGTTGTCCTTGGCTGCTCCAGCGTTACAACTTCTACAGCATTATAACTTATAACGCCTTCTAAACACAGACACAGTGAGAGAGAGAGAGAGACATATATTACATATGCATGGACATGTAAACACATGCGCGTGTGTGTGTGTGTGTATTGTGTATACATATGTGTATATATACAGGTTTTCTCAACCGTGCTCTTCGTGCTCTTTGCTTTCGATCATCATATTTTTGTCCTTCCAGGTGAGTTGGCTTTAAAGTGGTGTATCTGCGGCCCCTATGTGCTAATCTACATTGAAGAAGCAAACAATCCGGGTCGCCATTTATTCACTCCAAAGAGCATGAATGAAGTCCTCCAACTCTTCCACTGATGGCCCGCTAATGTGAGGGATTGCCTCAGGACATCCAAGAACACTTTTGTGGCACAGCTTGAAGTCCATCGTACGCCAGCGCAAGGGCAAGTGCATGTGCAAAAAGATAAACAATATATACTATACTAAACTATACAAATCTCAGCGTGCATGATACATGTTCTGTTGCTCTACTTCATGCCACCTAAGCCCCCATTGAATCTTGTGGCAACAATTGCCACGCAAGCAAGGGCATGAATAGAGTGGAAATGTTCCACAGGCCCAAAGCCCAGCTGAGTGGACGTGGCGTGTTCAGCATGATCGACATCAAGCAGCCAAGCATGCTAGTTTTCCCATGCGTCTTCCCATACTCTAGCATCGTTCAAACGATGCTAACGGGTTAATGCCATAGCCATGGCAGCTACGGCACTAGGAGTGCAGGATCCATCGTCTTTTGGGCTTTGTTGATTCGCCCGATGCCTCAGCAGCAAGGTAAACCTACAGGACCGCACAAGGGTTCATCGTGGACTCATCTGGTTGTAAGGACTTCTCAAGACCAACATCACAAATTGCACTCAGGTTGCTTTCGGGATGGCTCAGCTTCTGAGTGTCTGTTTGGAGGCTTCACCGGCCCCTTCATACCAAGCTGCAACCCGCGCTGGGCTCTCGACAGCTGAGGAGGCTGCCCTGACACTTCTTAGCATTCTGAACTACAGCGATGACCGGTGAAGCCTTGAAGCTTTTGCTATTAACAAGGACGCTACTAGTAACAAAGGGCATCGCTACTAGGAGCAAGGACGCTACTAGGGGCTCCTGGCCGTATTATTACTGGGAGCAAGGACGCTACAGTACTGGTATTGCAAGACAACATAAGACACCATAAGACACCTATATAGCACACGTAGATAAGAGCAACATGAGTCTCATACAAAAAAATCAAGAAGCCAACGACAAAGTGGCAAAACGCCGTGCAGCCATGCATTTAGTGCTCCAATGAGCCCTCAACTGGCGGTATCTGTGATTGCCTTGCCACTTCACTACAAGGGCCGTTTACTTGCAAAGGAGGCCCCCATTGGCACAGGTGATTGGGATGGGGCTGCAGAGCGGTCATGAAAAAGACTTGAGAAGCCTAGGCCTAGCAAAAGGATGTGAGAGCACCACAAGCACTACGAGACAACGGCAAGAGATGATCGAAGCAAACCCCGCAAGCGAAGAATGCCTCAAGGGCAGCCCAGGCAGCACAATATATTTCCTGTTCCCTTCCGCGACTCATGACTCTTACCTTCAATTTGCGGTGATTTTCTTTAGGTTTCCATGGAAGTCTAGCTGCGTGCTCAAAATGCCTTTTGGAAGCCAACTGTAGGAAGTAGGTTTGAGATGGGTGGTGGACTGGTGGACTCTAGACCAATCAAGTCAGTCACGACAGCTTGGTACAGAAAAGAAGGACAATGCACTATGCAGTCATCAGCCAATCAAATTATGCTCACATAGAGGACTTGTTTTAGAAGCTGCCGCAAAAAAAAAAAAAACAGATGTGAACGCTCACTATTATGGATTCAATGGGCGTGCCACAGGACTTTGCGCCACCTGCTCGAGCACTTGCCGCTGCACTGCTGGTGCTGCACCTCTGGGAAGTGCAGCTCAGCAAAACTGCTGCGATTTGCTGCATCAATGAAAGGGCACATGCATCGCACTTGTTATATACGTTTGCAAACAACACTCGGCACATCTTAGTGCAGTTCAATTTCAGATGCACCTCGCAGGGCTTCGCCGGCACGTTCATTGAGCTCATTCTCCTCAATAAATGTCTCCACCTCCTCAGGTTGGCGTCAACAAGGCCTTCCAGCCAGTCATAAGCTTGTACCTCACACTCAGGAGTTATTGCTAATACACACAGGTATGAAGGAGATGAGAGGATCCTGTGGCCCTGTATGAGGGCTTACGGCTTACGTGAGGCATGATAAGGGATCTGATGAAAGGCTTGTCCAGAGGTACCAATTGCTATCACACATGGGTAGGTTGTCCAGAGGTACCAATGGAAAACTGTATACACTTACTTGTCACAGCTTTGGGGAGCAGTCTACACAGAATAACTGCTAGTTAAATTTTCCAATGTATACTGGGATGTTGGATTTTTGTGTGTTCCAAGCTTCAAGATCCAAATAAAAAAATTGAACAATCTTAGAATCTTAGCACTTCAGATGGGTATCATCCCTGCTTGGCGCCACAAAAGTTGAAGAAGCACTTTTCTCGGCCTGGCAGGGGCTGACCGGCGAGACATGCAACTGGATAGACTTGAATAAGCCAAGGAAGTGGCCTTGAAGGGCCATACACCATTATACAAGGACGCTACTAGGGGCTCCCGGCATCGCTACTAGTAACAAGAAGCTACTGGGGGCTCACGGGCGGGGCAGCTGTTACAAACTCTGACCAGTGGGCTCAGGTGGGCTGTGCGCCTTCCGGATGCGTCCCACGCAGCCGGCATTGGGATCCCGGCAGGTCGCTAGGCTGCCCTGATCTAACACCACTCGTTGCACCAATGGGGAACAAGAGCGCAACAGCCCCGCCTCAGATTGGTTCCAGGCGAGGCGGGTGTTCCAGACGAGTCACTTGAGTCAAGCTGTCGGGTGCATCATCCCAAGAATATGCAGCTTGACGGCTTGGCCTGTTCGTTTCTGTAGTTTGAGTCGACTTTGCCACATCTATATAACTCTCTCATCCGTATCTCCTATAGTTAGCAAACCTATCATACAAGGCTAAGCGGGATGATAGAGGCCGCCTGCTTGGCTTGAAACACAAAGGCCGCAGCCTTGCTTTCGATCGACCCAGCTACCCCATCCCATGAACCCGAACCCCTGTCACAGAATGATGGTTGCAAGCTGAGCTGCCACTTTGTGACTGAGGTCGTTGTCTTCCTGGGTGACGACTGGCGATTATCAAAAGCTAAAGCTGCACTCTGCTTTCAAACTCTGCTTTGGTGCTTGTTCTCTTGTATCAGTGGCAGTGCCAGGGCGTGAGGTTGCACGAAAAATGTTGAACAACCCTCTCGTTCAGGATGTGTGCGTTCCGGATGTGCTGTGAAGAGTCTGTTTCACTGTCGATGGCGCTCATGTGTGTGTAACCCTTGGAATGATAGGGATCCTGTTGGATTTGCTCGGCTTGCTTTCTTATTTTCTAACTTTGTTCCAGCAGGGGGATGCCCCACACCTGAAGAGAGGGCATCTAACAAAGAGGCTCTTCAGGTTGTGCTGATATCAGCAAGGACGCTTGCTGACGTACCTGCATCAACTTTTAAGTTTCCATAAAGGGCTAGTGCCTGCGGCAGACAAGAGCGTACGACGTCATCCTGTCGTCTCGATCTCGACTTGAGCCTTTGGCCCCTTCTCCTTTTGAAGACCTCCAGGATCCGTGGTTCTTACTTGTACCTTAGGAAATGGTACCCTAGGCCGGCGTGTGGCACCGCTGTCAAGTCAGTACGCATATCCATGAGTGTGTTTGGCCTCGTGCCAACCCGGGATGAGCCCGCAGAGTGCCTCCCGTGGACCCGTCGAACGGGTGTACGTCGAACGTATCCATTGCCTGGATACAGAGCAGCTCGCAGCGAGCGTAGGTGGCCTAGGCCGTACGTATGATGATTTTTGTCTCATCTTTGGAATTCCAAGTTGGCTCATGCCTGTACGTGACCGTAGCGGTCAGGGGTGGCAGCCCTCGGGCAAGCCGTACGTGGTCGCAGCGACCGAAGCTTGTTCAAGGTTCATTGGAACCTGTGGAGAACTTAGCCCCCTTCTCCCCCTGCCCTCCCCCTTTCTCTCTTTGCTTTCTGGGGTTTTCCTGAATGTAATACTCAGGATCTCCCCTTTCCTTCTTTGGTGTGTCCCTGGACGATTGTTCGTAGCTGGGAACACCTTCCTTTCTCTCCTCTCCATTTCTCTCCCTCTCTCTTTCTTTCCTTCTCTTTTTCCTCTCTTCACCCTCTTCCTTGGGCGTCCCTGGAGGCTTTCGTCATAGCTGGGAGCCCTTCCTTTTTGGTGTGTCCTTGGACGCTTGTGCCGTAGCTGGGAACACCTTTACTTCCTTCTCTCCCTCCTTCACTTTTCCTCCTCCCCTCCCCCCTCTTTCCTCGCGCGTGGCGTATTTACAAGCAAACTAGGCTTCTGCAACAGGTTTCTCAATGAGGTTTGGACTGTCATCGGTTTGCCCCCTTTCATTTGGTTCCCCTTTCATCCGCCCCCACAGACTTTTTTCCTTCTTTCCTTTCATGTCCTTCTGTCTTCATGTCTCTTCATCCTCATCCTTTCTTTCTCTTGCGCGCACTATCGTCCGGACCTTAGTTTGTACACATACACGCACGCGTACTCTACTTACAACGAGGTTTAGGTGGCCCAGGTTCGTTACAATGAGGTTTGGCTCATCGGTTGTCCCTCTTCACTTGGTTCCTTTTCATCGGCAACCACACACACCTTTGTCTGTCTTGTCCTTCTCATTTTCATCTGTCCCTTTTGCGTGCACATGTGCCTACCTCCTTTCCGGGCAGGATGGAGGTCACACATGCCTCCCTTCGGGGAGGCGTGTGTGTGTAACCCTTGGAATCATAGGGATCCTGTTGGATTTGCTCGGCTTGCTTTCTTATTTTCTAACTTTGTTCCAGCAAGGGGGTGCCCCACACCTGAAGAGAGGGCATCTAACAAAGAGGCTCTTCAGGTTGTGCTGATATCAGCAAAGACGCTTGCTGACGTACCTGCATCAACTTTTAAGTTTCCATAAAGGGCTAGTGCCTGCGGCAGACAAGAGCGTACGACGTCATCCTGTCGTCCCGATCTCGACTTGAGCCTTTGGCCCCTTCTCCTTTTGAAGACCTCCAGGATCCGTGGTTCTTACTTGTACCTTAGGAAATGGTACCCTAGGCCGGCGTGTGGCACCGCTGTCAAGTCAGTACGCATATCCATGAGTGTGTGTGTGCGGGTGTGTTCCCAGTGTGTGGGCCATCGAAGTTTGCTCCATCTCGCGCCAATATTGTTTGTTTTATCGGTCTGCTATTTTTTGGCCTAGTGCGAACCAGGATTTCTATATATATAACTATATATATATACATTATATGCAACAAGCCTCGGTCAGAATTTGGCCTTCCTGTGAAGGGCCGCAACTGGCTGGGTCCCAACCCCAGGCAACTGCCTGTGCCTTTGTTGAACAAGTCACATACAAATGACTCAGCTTCAGAACGGTACACACCGCGTGGCGTACCCACCGAAAGGTCAAAGCACACACTGGTGAGGTCTCACATGATCAAGGTGTCCATTCTGTAAGCTGCTTGTGCCACTAGCCTCGTTGGCCATAAACTCGGCAACGTCCAAGTTACAGTAACCCCAGGGAATTTGCACATGCGGACAACTGTGATTTTTAATGATGTTTCTTTAGTCGTTGACGTCTTGCGCCAAGAGTCCGGCAGCATCTCAAACATTTCTGCATATTCATTGAAATATGGGCGCGTGATGACGCGTGTATTAAGTTTGTTGTTTTTGCAGGGGGCAGTAGTCCTGGTCAGAGTCCTGATCGACGCCTGGGTTGGAAATGTTGAAACCTTGTGTGAGCCTTGCTTCTGCGCGAAGAAACTTGAGACCCTCAAGCAAACCTGCCTTGCAAAGCCCCAAACATTCTCTCTTCTTGCGAACCTGTTGGAACCCTGGTTGAAACCTTGGCTGGTGGCTGGTGGCCAGGAAAGCTCTCCGTTTGTGCGAACCTGCCCAAAATCAATAGCATCGGAGATTGGCTTGACACAAGAATAACACGACTATAGCAGCACGATTGACCGCATCTAATGTGTGTGTGTGATCCATAAAATGATCCCAAAATGATCTATAAAACGTATCCATCTTCTCCCCAGGCAGTCTCAAGAGAAAACCGCGCAATACCACGCAAAAAAAAAAAAACTGGTCGTTGGCATGCACCACTATCCAACAATCGCCATGGATTTTTCCTTTGACACAGCTCCCCTGAGGGTGGCTCGATAAACTGCTGCACCTCGTCTGCCATTGCAGTCAACAGCACAAACCATCGGGGAGGCCGTTCTCGACTGCCATTAACTGGCACCAACAAATTACATAAAGTATTGTTTATGTTCGTATATATTGACATACACACATCACATATCGTCGAAACGGCACCTGTGGTTTCACTGCTTCTTTTCAGGGAGTACTGTGAACTCTCCACATACTGGCTAGCTCCAAATCTCGCAGGTTGAGAATGCTTCACGATCCCCTCTTGACTTTGAAGCGCTCAGTTTACACATGTTTGGTTGTTCTCGTTCTCTCTTTCTCTCCCGTTCTCTCTTTCTGAGACTCTTGAGCCGTCAGTTGTCAGCACACCAAATTTGATGCAACAGTAGGATGCAGCTCTCGCCCCCACAAAGTAATATTACAGCCCCTGAATGCCTCCTCTGTTTCCCCAAGTAGCGTAGCAATGCGGTCAGCCTACGTTGGGCACCTGTCCCAATGGCAACTCCCCCTCAACACGTCGCTCGACGACTCTCTTGGAGAGGTGGTTCAGCACTTGCAAGGCGTCTTCGTGCCGATAGCTCACTTGTTTGGATACTAGAAGCTCCGACATAGCCATCCCATCCTTGTTCGTTTCTGAGCTGGGTGGTACTGGGAATCTTTGAAACCCGCTCTGTCAAACAGCCAAAAGCAGAAAGGCTGATTCAGCTTGGTTCCTACACTTGGTTCTCATATGTTCTCATCTGCTGCCCCTTTCAATTCTCATTGTGAGGTCCCAAACTGTGGATTTCTCGATGGCTACGGATGCTACGGGGGTCCGTTCCCTGAACTTGGAAACTTCATGGGTTCAAGCACAAATAGCAAAATAAAATACCTCCAGAGTGGGAATAGCTACAAATTTGACTAAAAAGCTTGAAAGCACTTTCAGGCCATGGGCTGCTGGTGGAATCGTGGATTTCAAAGCCTCTTCGTCTTTCACCTCTGCCACAGGGCTAGCATCAACTTGCTGGGTAGTGAGGTCGGCAATGACATCCGCTAAGGCTCCATCTTGCAAGATCTCTCTGAGAAGTCTCAGTTCCTGGGCTAAAAGTGCCGTTTGCTCTCTGAGGAGTTTGACCTCCTCAGTGTGCTCTTCAGTTCCATGATCCGGAATCTCCTGCAGTCTCTCCTTGGCACGGGATCAATAGCATGGCCTCATCAAAACGATGGGCTATAAATCTATAGACGCATATGAACGTGAGAAATGGCTAAAGCATGCTGTATGTAATAAAGGCTCAATTAGGCTACCCCGGCTCGGGGGCTCCTGAGGTTCTTCTAGTTCAACTCCAGGGAAGTAACCCTGGGCCGCAGCAAACCGGGCGACCTGGATACCTTTGGCACCACGGCCTGGCACCACAAATTGCCAAAGCTCAGCTTGGAGGACGAACAACGGCACCAAGAGCACGAAGAGCGTGCATCGCTGCAGCGACAAGCGTGTGCCAGGGGGACGCCCAGCCGTAGGCACATCCATGGACGATGCAACGGTGCACACCTCTACGCTTGGCCCAAAATTGCTGCGATCCAAAAGCATGCAAGCATGTACAAATAGAATCAAATAGACATCTCAGCATGATCAGCATGTTGGAACAAATGGCGGAGATGCCTTCACAACCAAACCTTGCCGGCCGGCCAGTCTTCATATACAGAACATTGCAATACATCGCATGTTTTCCGGTCTTCGCTGCATACAGAGTCCATGACAGAATCCAGTCAGATCTGAAGTGGCCAGTTGGTCGAAAGACCGAATGCTTCCTCTGGCGCGACCTCTTTCGAGGGGTCCGTCTTCGAGCACACCACCGTATCCATTGAGTCATTGAGCTCCCATGCTCAAGTCTCATCTGGGCCCTATGACCCTACCATCTCAGACCTACGGTATCCCAGGTGTTCACATGGCGTTCACTTCGTCTTGGCCTCACTTATATATGTGTTTACTTTATAGCTCCAATTTCTCACAGCCAATGCGAACAGCTGTTTCACCCACTTGCATCCTCAAATGCGCGGGCACCTTGGACGGCAAGCACCTCGGGTCACTTATTGTCCAACATTCACCCAATCGCGCAAACGTGCTACATACCTGGTACAGACTTGCTATAATGAAAACATGTCAAAGCATGTCAAAGCAACCAAAAAAGCTGCGCAAAGCTTACAAGAGGCACCCACACATCGTGGGATTTGCATCAATGTTGAATGTGCGCATCTTCGGCATTTTCATCAGTCCGGCCACTACGTCAATGCCGTCTGGGCAGTATAGATCATTCAACTGCACCTGCTGACGGAAGGGTTAGCTTTCGGGAATGCATTTTCAAACTACTACCTCAAAGTGTAATGCCATGCTCTTCCAGGTCATGGATTAAGCAAGACTCATGATTCGGTGATCTCCACAAGAGGCCGTGGTTGACAAGTACACTGCAAAGAGCGTCGAGGCCAAAAAGAACAAAGAGTGCGGTGCGCATGTCTGATGAAAAAATGCAAACAAATTCTCAAAGATTCTGAAAGCAGCTGAAGCACCTGCAGCTGTGTGAGATTCACCAGACGTCTCAACGACCAAGGCAAAGGCCCTGAAAGCTTCAAATCATGGAGATCCAGTGAGCCTTACTTCAATGGCGGAATGGAACGATCTGTCCGCCAGCGCCCATCTGACAACAATCGAAAAGTGACCTACAAATTGCATCGAAACTATCATAATTATACAAAGGTCAAGCTGGTCAAGCAGCGGAGATTTGGCCAAAGTTCGGGCAGATCCTCGGGGATATGTCCTCAGTGGCTGGCTACAAATCTGGAACAAAATGGTCAAACAGCAAGATCTGGTGAACGAGTGTGAGTTAAAACTCTAAAGCGGGCGACCAACAACTGAGGAGGCTTCTCCATGGAGGTACAGTAAATCACCAGAAATGATGCTGCATGTAATGACAACTGACAACTGGCTGCTTGGGACTCTACTCACCAAAAGCACGGCATGGCCAAACTTTGGTAGTTGCGGTGCATCACTCCCAGCCCCAAACCCAAGCGGCTTTTGGCGACACTTGCATCAGGCTGCTACCAGTCAGGGAGCCTCCCTTATTACTAGTTTGGGCCTGGAGTGGCTCCCTTATGCAGAGTACCCCGTAGTTTTTAAGGCCGTCGATTTCTGAGAACACAGGTTTGCCAGCTCAAGTCACCATAGATGAAATTGGCATCAATGTGCATTTTCTCGATGGACCGCCACCTAGGTCTGCTGGAAACAGTTCATGTGCCCAGTATTTCCTCCCCGCTCGGTGCATGGCGAACAAAGTGACACGAAACAATCGCTGCACTGACGGCAGCACCTCCACCAGGGCAAAGACATATCATCCAGTCTGATGTTCCAACCATGCACCGGGCAGCGCCACACAGGTGCAGTTTTGTCCGCTCGAGACACATAGCCAAGGACGCACTGGCTACGGTTCGGCAGCCAATCTCCTTGGGTTGATCACAACATGAACTAGACTTGCCCATGCTACTTTGCGAGTCCTGGCCTGACTAGTTAGAGAACAAGAGATTTAGCAGGGTTCGGCCAATGGAAGCGAAGCAGCTACCATGGGCCTCCCACTGTCCTGGGCAGCTATCCTCGCTCTCGTTGATGCCAACCAGCCTTCCATTCTCAAAGGCTTCAAAAACGCGGAGCTTCTGAAGATTCCCCAAAGTCTGCGGCAATGAGCTGGGACCTGCACCCAAAGCAGCACAGGGAGACGCGGCTCATCACTTGGGAATCCATGTGCACCCCTGACAAGAGACCCTCATTAATGATATATACATGGTTTTTGTCGCCAACTCCTGCCGGTGTGGATCAATCTCGTCAGCGATAGATAGATGGATAGATAGATAGATAGACAGATAGAGAGACAGACAGACACAGACAGACACAGACAGACACAGACAGACACAGACA